CTTCTAGGTATCATGAGCTAATGAAAAAAAAAAAACCTTAATGCCAGGAATGTACTACCTCTCTGTAAGCTGTAGACATCAAATGATATTGGCAATTGCCCTTGTTCTTGGTTACCCACTAGAGCTGAATGGTAAGATCCTATTACTGAAGACACTATATACATGAGCTGTAGAACAAACAAGGAGAAATCAACTGATACTGACTTCAGAACTTATCTCTACTGGCTAGTGTCCATAGTGCTGGAAGGTACTATGCATGCACCAAAAGGAAAAAATAATCATTGGCCATACCCAGCTGTGAATTCTGTGAACTACAATAACAACTGGCCTGGCAAGATAGGCCCACCAATGCAATAGTGGTAGGACTATTATGGGAGTAACCAACCACTCTTTACTTGGATTCAAGATCCAGTTCCTAGGATTAGGCCCATACCTGACACTGATATCAGGTTTAGGAACATGAGTTTAGACAGGCTGTCATAGGACATATGGAGAGACCCTCACACTAGTTTTCAACTAAATAGTCATCATTCTAAACTGACTCCTAATGACTTATTGTTATACCCATAGATTAAAATATCTCTAATCTCTTATCAGAGGAGTTTCCTTATGCAGCAGATGATTAACACAGAATTCTACATCTGGTCAATGTTCAGAGAACAAGAGACTGTTGAGTGCTCATCCCTAACTAGGACATCTATATCAAACTTCTGCCTCCCAAGGCTCAAGGATCATTAAAGAAGAGGGGGTAGAAAGATTGTAAGAGCCAAAGGTGGTGTATGACCACAAGGAAACAGAGTTTTCCAGAGAGCTGGTCAGTTACTTATATGAACTCACAGCAATGGTGACAGCATGCCCAAGTCCCATGCAAGCTCAAGCCAGACAAAATCCCAGCATAGACATGAGGAGTTGGTAAGAAATCTCAACCCAAACTAAGGAAATCATGGCAACTGATGGCTGCTGGGAGGGGCAGAGACAGTCTCTTTTAAGGATGGTACTCTTGGTAGGTTAACCAGGCTCTAGTAATTTGCTCCATACTGAAGAACAGTTGGGGACACTAATTAGACTTTCTCCACATAAAAACTCGATACATTATAAACTACATTAAAATGGCCAGGGGGCACTACGGGGACGTGTGAATAAGGGAGAGGAACTAAATACCATCAAATTATATTGTATGTGAATTGCAAAATTCAGCTTTTACACACACACACACACACACACACACACACACACACATACACACACGAATTCAGGGCTGGAGAGATGACTAAGTGAAGAGTATTACTGCTCTTTCAGAGGACCTGGATTCAGTTCTCAGCCCTTACACAGCAGGTAACAACAGTTTGTAACTCTAGTTCCAGGGGATCTGATGCCCTCTTCTAGTCTCGCAGACAGTACAGTCTACTTCAGCAAAACCTTTTTTACTGAGAAGATGAAGAACATGGAAGCCCTTTGTCTGTTTCTCTAGATACCAGAGGTAACATATGGTTTTGTCCCTTGCAGAATTATTTTCATTCTGTTGGGTTATAGTGTAATGCCTTTAGCCCAGAATGTATTCTTTCCTCATTAATTCATCCATCCATTCATTCAACAAATATTTGTTGAAGCCTATGCTGTAATAGGCACATTCCTGGATATTTGTGATCTCAGCATCTAGCTTTCTTGGATCTTGTTTTCTAACTTTGCAAGATATATATAAAGTTACATCTTCCAGAGTTTTCTTTATATCTAAGGAGTAGAAAGGCATTGAGAGAATCTACATGTATTTATTTTTAATTTTTGCACCAGAAAAATACAAGCTTATTCTGATCCAAATTATGGGTGACGATGGCCCATGAAAATGGGCTTAGATGGCTCCAAATAACATGTTCTACCATGGAAGAGGTTACACACACTTTTATAGTCACAGAATAAATCAATACACTTACCAAATGCATTTGTGGGGACATCATGTAGGCAGGTTATAGCAAAGCAGGGAATCTTTGCTGTAGGATTCAGACTACCTGGTAACACTCTAAGCTTTTGAGTTGGTGGACTATGCCATAAGTTTTAACCAATAATGTCAATGGTGTTAAGTCAGATACATAGATTGGTAGCAAACTGCCATTGAGGGAACTAAAGATAGTTCAGGATAATTTTGTCATTGGATCTGCAGTATTCCAGCTCTCCACAATCACGATGTTCTAGTCAATTAGTCTACGGAATTTTGAACATGGAAGATGATTTTTCAGGGAACTTCAGTTCCCAGTTTCCCTTGTTGGCCAAGCATCATATTTTGGGCATTTGGAGGCTAAACACTATTTTACGTCTTCACATAAAACACATGCCTAAAAAAGACAAAAAAAAAAAAAAAAACAAAACAAAAAAAAAACCACATGCTTAGGATCTCATAAATATGTGGCTGAGATGGCAGGAAAGTAGTCTTCAGGGTCTTTTCCTTGAGGCTGAAGGGCATATAGTATCTTCTCCAACAGGGAATACTTGGTTTCCTCTCTCATTCAGTTCTTCATTTCCTGGGAGCCCACTGTAGAATGATGGCATTAAACCAAGGAAATAAAATAGATGTGAGGGGGCTGTGCTGGTCTTGGACCTAATCCAGGTGACTTCTCTAGAGAGAGTGGATACTCTGTGGTCCTGCTTTGAATGACCAAGCTGCTCACTTCTGTGCTAGGTGGTTTTAGTTTCTGGCCCAGTTTCTGGCCTTGTCTTTAAAAAGCCTGCAAGGCAGAAGACTTCCCTGTCTTTCTGTTTGAAGGTCAGGTTCAAATCAGTTCTGCGGTGTTGCTTATTTCAGTTGTCTTTTTTCTTGGTAGGTCCTCCACTGGTGTGCAGGTTAAGCTCAGATATGAAAGTTTAGAAATGTCTTTCTCTGCATGGATGGATTTATTTTGATGTCATCAAGAAATCATTTGTGGGGCTGGAGAGATGGCTCAGTGGTTAAGAGCATGGACTGCTCTTCCAGAGAACCTAGGTGTGGTTCCCAGCACCCACACGGTGGCTACTAATGGTCATAAGTCCAATCTCGGGGACCCAACACCCCTCTTCTGGCCTCTGTGGGCACTACATGACACAGATGCACTTACACACATGCAGGCAAAACATTCTTACATATGAAAATAAAAAAAGTAATTTATTAAGAAAAGAAATCGTTTGTTTAGCCAGGCATGGTGGCACATACCTTTTAATCCTAGTACTGAGGAGGCAGAAGCAGGACGATCTCTTGTGAGTCTGAAGCCAGCTTGGTCTTCAAATCAAGTTTCAGGCCAGCCAGAGTTGCATAATGAGACCGTCTCCAAAAAAAAAAAAAAAAAAATTCATATGTGTTACAAGCTGAAGTTCCTACAGGTATGTGTGGGAAAATACACCTAGTTAAAGATTCTACAAGGCTGAATGGTTGCTTAGAACTTTGTGACTGCTGGGCGTGGTGGTGCACACCTTTAATCCTAGCACTTGGGAGGCAGAGGCAGGCAGAGTTCAAGGCCAGCCTGGTCTACATAGTGAGTTCCAGGCCAGCTGGAGCTACAGGGAGGACCTGTCTCAAAAAGATCACAAAAACAAAAAGAAAAGAAAAAAAGAACTCTGTGACTGTAGAGGGTTGGGATGTGGCATATATGGAGCCAAACTATCTTGGGTTATTTTTACTCCCCTTAATACTTATTGTCCACCTCTATGTCTGACCTTTCATCATTTTAATGATTAGGTAAAAGATTTTGGAATGTATTTTTAACAGACCAGTGGCTTCCAACCTATCAAAAGCTAGGATCAGAGAGCAGAAAGCTATAGAGTTCATTGCTTTGCTATAATCCACCTATTTCCATGAATGCACTTGAACATTGATCTTTTCTTTTGTCCAGTGATTATAAAACCTTTAAGAAATTATTTCCAAATTGGGACATGCTGTTCCTGGTATCCTGAATCTGTGTTCCTGTTCCTGGATATCATAGTCACTCTGTCTGGCTCAAGAATAAACTCTTACTCTGTTTTTCTGAAATGGATGTTTTGCCTTGACAGTATTTTACATGTGACAGTATTTTACACACAAAATTTTCCGTCTCCCTCCCTCCTTGCCTCTCTTCTCTTCCTCCTCCTCTCTCTCCTGCTTGGAAGCCTTAATCTATTTTGAGCTTAACTAAAATAACTGTATAAGATACTGTGCTGATCCTATTCAGATACTAACCCCTTCTGGCAGGAATCCTTGTCTTTCTAGCTCATCTGTATTTTCATTGGCCTTTCTTTTGGAAAACGAGTTACTTTGTTTCTTTATATCCTAATGCGTTTGTAAATGGCTTCAAATCTCAAATCCCCTATGGAACTAGAGAAACAGGATAAACTCCACCAAACCACAAATCCAGAATGTGGTGTTTTCTTTACGATAACTGTTCAGGTCTTTTCAAAACGCTGATAATAAAATTGAAAAAGGCTATTGTTATGGCTCGACAAAAAAAAAAAAAAAAAAAAAAAAAATCAGAAGAAAACAAACCAACAAACGAAAGATAAAAAAAGCCCCGACCCCCCTCCCAACCATTTCAAGCAGTGACTCTTGATGGACCCTGTCTCCACAATAATGAACAGAATAGAAATATGAAAGGTTATTTTCGGAGACTAAGAACACCTAGATGTCGCCTGGGAAGTCAGCGACGGGTATGGTGTCTTAGCCGCAATTTAGGGACAAAACTGCAAAAAATGTGTTAAAAAACTTTTTTATGTAGAAAGGTTAAAAATGTCTAAACCTTAGCCATGCCATTGTTGAACCTCGTATGGTGTAGTGCGGCCCTTTATGGGTTGTAAATCTAGGTTTCATTGTTTTTGCCGCTGTTCCTATGACATCACCAGAAAGCTGTAATTACTTCCACGCGAAGGTAACGGGAAATCTCGCGATGCCAAGGCCAGCGGCGAACCGCGCGCCACGCTGGGGGCGGGGCGAGGGGAGCGAGAACTTCCGGCCAGGCCGCGGTCTGGTGGCGCGGCCGAGTCATCGCCGGCTTCGCCGCTCCGCGCTTCCTTCGCGTCCCCCCGCCGCGGTGCGGGGGGTCGAGCGTCCGCGGGAGGCGTCTGGAAACCTCCACCTCAGCGGCCGGGCCGGGGCTCCCCGCACCGGGGCCTGCGGTCAGGGGTCGGGGCTTAGGCGCGTCTCCACCGGGCCCCATGAGGCACAGCCTGACCAAGCTGCTGGCAGCCTCGGGCCGCGACTCCCCGAGCCACCACGAGAGCCGGGCCGCCTCCCGCTCGCTGTCCCGGGCCCCGGCTGGGGCGGCCGCGGGGGAGGCCACGGCAGGGATCGGCTCGCCGGGCCGCGAGCAGCCACACCGCGACGAGGGCGAGCGGGCGGCCGGGAGGGGGTGCCGCGGCGGCTCCGCCGTGCGCGCGCAGTCGCCCGTGAAGATGGAGGAGGAGGAGGAGGAGGTCGCCATGGTCCCCAAAGAGGAGCCGGACGACATGGACTTTCTCTCGGGGCTGGAGCTGGCGGACCTGCTGGACCCTCGGCAGCCAGACTGGCACCTGGAGCCGGGGCCCTTGTCGTCGGGCGGGGGCTCGGACAGCGGCGGCCTGTTGCGCGGGGACGACGACGACGAGGCCGCGGCCGCCGAGATGCAGCGCTTTTCCGACTTGCTGCAGAGGCTCCTCAACGGCATCGGAGGCTGCGGCGGCGCGGGTGACCGCGGCAGCGGGGAAAAGAGGCGGAGAAAGACCTCGGGAGGCGGCGGCGGCGACAACAGCAGCACCCCAGCGGCGACCCGGAGCCCCCGGAAGGCGGCGGCGGCCGCTGCCCGGCTGAACCGGCTGAAGAAAAAGGAGTACGTAATGGGGCTGGAGAGCCGCGTGCGCGGGCTGGCAGCCGAGAACCAGGAGCTGCGGGCCGAGAACCGGGAGCTGGGCCAGCGTGTGCAGGCGCTGCAGGAGGAGAGCCGCTACCTGCGGGCCGTGCTCGCCAACGAGACCGGACTGGCTCGCTTGCTGAGCCGGCTGAGCGGCGTGGGACTGCGGCTCACCACCTCGCTCTTCCGAGACGCGCCCGCCGGGGACCACGACTACGCGCTGCCTCTGGGCAAGCAGCCGCAGGAGCCGCGGGAGGACGACGACGACACGGCGGGAGGAGTGTGTCTCCATGTGGACAAGGATAAGGTGTCGGTGGAGTTCTGCTCGGCGTGCGCTCGGAAGGCGTCGTCGTCTCTGAAAATGTAGGGTCAAGTAATCTGCTCTTTATCCGCGTTTACCCCCTTCTACTCCCTTACACCATGTTAAAAAAAAAAAAAAACCTTAGTGGGACATCTTCACTGGACACATTTCAGAGGCCGAAACCAAGTAATATTAAATCTTTAAAGTGTTTAGCTAAAAGCATGAATGTGACACTGTAACCGACTCCTAATGATAACCTGTGACTATTAAATCTCTCTGACAGTTTCTTTTTTAGGTGATTTCCTTCCTGCCAGGCTCCGTTGTAGGGGTTACAGAACAGTCGTTCCCGCCTCCCAACCTGGTAAGGATCCATCTCTTCACGTAACGCTCATGCTCTGCTGCTTAGTCTACTTAATGGGCAACATCTCAATTGTGTGTGTGTGATTTTTTTATTTTCTTCTTCATTTTTTGGAAGGTGGGAGGGGAATCTTAACTTGGGCCCTGTCCACCCTGGAAACAGACTTGTGCTGGTCAAGAATGTACTTAAGATGTTTCTTCTGGTTGAACTAGCTGTTAAATGTGTCCCCTTGTTCAGAGTTGCGTGTACCTAGCTCTTCTGTCCCCAGTGTGGACATGGCCTTGGATGACATCGGTTCCAACTGTACACTGAAACCTGCTTATAGAGATACAGTTTGGAGACAGTGAAACAGGTGAAGTGGAATGGAAGTTCCGAGTTGTACAAGGTGCAAATTGGAATTCCAATTTTAGAGCAACTTTTCAGAGGTTGACAATAAGTATCTGAGGCATGCGCAGATGTGAGATTTTTCTGGAGATGACAAATCTCTTAAGTATTCAAGAATGCCTTAGTTTTCAGTAGAAGATGCAAAAAAAATGCCATCCATTAAAGAAATAGATTTTAGTATCTCACCATTTGGGAAGTTGGAAATTTACACTCTCTCAGATTCCTGTGCTTTAATTAGAGGAAGAATAAGAATGGTTAATGAAAGTTTCTTTGAGGACCAGCACAGTGATGACCTATCACTGAGTATGAAGAAATTGTTGAAAACTCTTATTTTTGTTGTATTAAAATTTTAGGTTAAATTTATGTATGATCAGATATTGAAGGTTGTGAAATGTGAATGAAAACGTGTAAAGTGAGGCTTCACAAAGAATCCTATACATTTCAAAAGCTTTTGGTTTTTTAAAGTAATTTTTAAAACTTTAGTGGTTCTGGCCACTTGATATGACTGACACTATTTTTCCAAAGATGGAAAATATTCGTCCCTGGAAATACTGTTTCTTGTCCACTTGTATAAAATTAAGTTACCATGACCGTCAGTGTAAGAGGCTCTGAATTCTTTGTGAAACATCACTGTTTGATAAAGGATATACGTATTTAGCATCCTTGTTTTTCTTTGTGCTAAAGTGGATACAGCTGTTGGGGCAGAAGAGACGGGACCAGCTGCTGGCCACATTTCCTGCTTTATTTTAAAAGGTAGTATAAGAAATGAGGAAAAAGAGGTAATATCAGGGCTTCTGCTGTCTTTTGTTTTTAAAATGTTCATAGTTAAGTATTTTCCAGCAGTCCAAAGATGTAAGTTACCTTACACATGTTTTATTTTGTTATTGGGTTATGCAAATGGAATCTTTGTTCTTGCACAACTTGTAAATGTTTTGTTGCTAGATAATATGATTTGAGACCTTGATTGGTCTCTGGTTTCCAGTACATCACATTTTGTAAAATTATCTACTGCACTTGAGCATGAATGGGTAGCCAAACTCAAAACCTGGAGTGATGAACCTGCTTGCACAAGGGCAGAAGCAAGCCCCACAATGCAGCTGCATGGATTCTTAGTGCCTACTGAATTAAACACACACATATATAAACCAAAAGTAGTTGAAGAAAGTATTCGAAATGATTAATTTGTGCTCTTTCTGAAATGTTAAATGTAGCTTTTGAAACAGAAGCCTTGAATTGAAATTAATAATACTTGAACATTTTTGTATATATTTCTTTGTATATAATTTTGTGCAGTACTGATGACAAAAATATGGTGTCATAATAAAATCAGGTTTGTTCATATTTCAGTTATGGGCTCAAGGAATTTATTCATCTCTAACATGACATTTGAAAATAATGGATGAAAATAGGAAAAATGGTTGTTGTTAATGCTGACTGTGGTCTTAATCAAAAGGTTCTGAAAGCAGTTAAGCCTGTTTTCCTAGAAATTACACCATTTCCCTGGGGTATTTTCTTCTTAGTATCAGTGCATTTCCCTGCATTATTTGAAGATTGGGGGTGGGGAGGGAACAGTTTCTGAATTGGGGGGATTTGAAATTCCAACTACAGATTTTTAGAATGTCATTTTATAAATGGCGGTTTGGAGAATGGAGAGCTCTTGAAGATGGGAAGATTAGTATGGCCTATCTTTAAAGCTGCTCTGTTAGGTTCCTTATGTTTTGCTAACTGTCTTTTCTCAGTTTCCATTTCATTATTTCTTTTTTAGTTTTGGTGATAGTGATTTTTGTCATGTTTTTGCATCAACTCATGGTCTTGTTTTTACATGGTAATTGCATGTGTTTAGGACCTATCAGGGACTTTAAATAAATTTGGTCATATTTATGTGTAAGCACATTTTACTGTAAATGTTTGGGTTTCTTAATTTACAACAGATGTTTATTTCAGTATGTAGTAAACAGTATCTTAAAAGTGTCCTATTCACTACTTGTTAATTAAAAAAGTTATGATTAATATAAAACTGTTGTCTTACTGTTTGTAGAAAATTGTGCTGTGAATGGTTAGTATTTTGGTAGAGATTTCTGGACTATAAAATAGATTGCTTTGAAAATTTCAGGTTTGGCTCTATTTACTGTAATGGTTGAAAACAATTTAGTATTTGGAGAACTGTTGTGGGTTTAATTTCCTGATCTGTGCCTCTGGTAAAAATGAACAAAACTAAAGATGTAGTTTTTTAATACTTGTCTTCCTATGGTAGCAGAATTCATATGTTAATTGAACTAACACATATTTACCTACTAGTTCTATCATACTGACTTGTTTCTGTACTTTTTTGACCAGACTTAATTTAAAAGTACACCTTTGTTAAAGATGTAGTCACACCTCTGATATGTCCAACGAAGTAGTCAAAATATTTTAAATATTTGTGCATTTTATAATCATTAAATTAATCTCTTTCTCTTCTCTTTAAACAGCTTAGCAGTATCTGCAAAAACGAATCTTTTCCTACAACCTGTTAACTGACTGGACTGATGGTAACAAAGTAATTGTGGGAGCCATGCCGGTCAAAAATTCGGCATCTGCTGAAAAACATGCCATTTTCAAGTTCCCAAATTACTTCTATACTGATTTCACTTTCTAGAAACGGAGATAAGAAAAGATTCTCTGGAATGCTTGAAAGACTTAATAGAAATCCATGAGACCAAGTTAATTTTGGAACAAAATATACTTTTTTTTTCCTTTTATGGGAGTAATACTAAACTTACTGCTTACCTTTTAAAAATTGTAACCATTGGAGAAGAGAATTCTAGTGTTTGATCAAGAAATAACTAGGTTTTTACACAAGAACACATGCTGTGAAATTACAGTTAGTGGGTTAGAATTCCATAAAGAGGCCATCAGTGATTACAAGCTTATCATGAGTTTGTATTTTTTTATTATTTTATTTTTGGAATGTAAGCTAATTTGGAAGACATCAGATATCTTGCTGAGTAGAATATACAAGTTAATGTAAAGTCTTTATAAAGAGTAGTGTTTTAAAATAGATGCATTCATTTGTATGTTTTGAAAAGAAATGACTATGGTAAAATGTATGAGTAGTATTGCAATTTAGGGTTAAGATGAGCATGTGGATTCTGAGGGTTTTGGCTTCTTGGACTTTCTTTTGACCCTGTTTTTGAATATCTTGAGGTTTCTAATGAATGACATAGTTTCTACTGTTCTGTGTTAAAATTTCTGTAGTGGTATGTAAGGGCCTTCGTATCTGGATGATGGGAGTGACTTACGTTACATATTACAATTGAAAAAACTCAGAACTGAATCATTCTTCATTTCTGTTGGATTATACTAGCTCATACATTCTTTCATCTGGTCTAGACTCATTATGCTGACTCACTTGAGAAGTGTGCAAATGCTAGAAGAGGGAAATGGTAGGACGTGGTCTCTTACACTGTGACTGTACAGTTGTCTTTAATGATACTTGGAATTCATTAAGTCTGCTTTTTCTAGTAATCACCTTGTGTGTTTAGTGCCTGTAAAACTAGAGAGTCCCCACTGCTTATATAAAAAGTGGCTTGATGCTCCTGCAGGACAGCTGGTCCACAACCAAGGTTTAGACAACACATTTGGTGACAGAATGCAGTGTGAATAACTCACTGAAAATTGTCAAATAGTCATCTGGCTGAGGCATTTTTAAGGTAGAGATTGAGCTTGTTAATTTAGTCAAATTCTTAAATAAAAGGAATGAGTCTTAAAAGCTGAATAGGTAATACTGTGTTCCTGGATCCATTCCCCACCTCCACCCGTTTACCTATTTACCTGTTCATTAGCTATTTTCCTTACCGATTAAGGCATTATTCTTGGTTTAAGCCACAAAGGGCTTAACATCGTTAAGTTGTGATGCAGCTCACAGCCAGTTCATGTCGTGCCATGCCTTCTGAACAAATTTTTGGTAGACTTGTAACAGATTAAACCATTATTGCTTAGTTGCCTATTTTTACTAGTTAAAAAAGGATTTAAGAAATAGGCAATGGAGGGGAGATGTTAGGAATCCTTTTGTTATTAAAACCGTTAGACCCATTTTACAGCTGATGTGTTAGTAAAATCCTGGCATTGTTTTAAGCATGGTAAACAGTTTGTAATTTTCAAACAACTTGGTTATGCCTCTAGATTTTGAGTTATTTTAAGTTGATTATACCATCTGTATACCTAAAGAATCTAATTTAGCCATTATATTTCTTTAATAAATTACTTTTTTACCATGATAAATAGAATTGTGTAATAAGTAAAAGTGAGAATGTAGGTGGACAGCTTCGGCTCAGGAAGCCTTTACCCTTGCTTTTGTATATTGTAAAATAAATCATTAATCGTGTCTATAAACATACTTTCTCTTTGTAGTTCTCAAAGTAAAGCATATTAAAATTTGGGACTCTAAAAGGGAAGCAGAAAATTACAAATAACCCAGTGGATATTCATAGTAGACATTTTGGCTTATTTCCTATCTTGGAAGCTTCTTTTTTGCTTTGGAATTGTTATAATTTTTTTTAAATTTATTTTTGTTTATGTATATGTGTACTTTGCCTGTATGTATTTAAGTGTACCTGTGTCATGCAATGCCCATAGAAGTCTTTGGAACTGGAGTTAGAGATGATTGTTAGCCACCTTGTGGGTACTGGGAACTGAACCCAGGTCCTCTGGAAGAGCATCCAGTGCTCTTAACCACTGAGCTGTCTCTCCAGCCCCAATTGTTAGAATTTTGGGGATTTTTAAATCGTTTATTACTTTTATTTATGTGTATGAGTGTATTGGTTGCATGTATGTAAGTGCACTGTTGCAATTCCCACAAAGGTCAGAGAGCAGGTTGGATCACTGGGAACTGAACTGAACCATAATTCCAACCCGTTAACAATTTCTAAATATAAATTTGGTAGAGAATGTGTTTTCGTGTGCCTGTTGAAGGAAGAAGTCATCTTTCCATTCGGAAAACTTGAAAATGTATTTGCTAATTTCGCTTGAATTTTAAATCTTTGGCAACATTTCCTCTCCCTTTTAAGACAGGGTCTTGGTATGTAGCCCCAAGTGGGCCAGAAATCAGTGTGTAGATCAGGCTGGCCTAACTTGGGATGCATGTCCTGTCTTTTCCCTCACAAGTACTGGGATTACAAGAGGTTTGCAGTGATGCCTGGCTGCTTTTTCTTGAGAAGTTGAAGGCCTATTTCACTTGAAAAGATGCCTTTAAAATTTTTTATTTTTGATTTGTTTTTATGTGTATGAGTGTTAAGCGTGTATGTTGTGCAGTTCCTGCAGAAGACAGAAGAGGGTGTTGGAATCCCTGGGTGCTGGGAATCAAACCTGGGTCTTCTGCAAGAACAGCCAGCGCTCTTAACCACTGAGTCATTTCTCCAGCCCAGCAAAGATACGTTTCTAATACTACTTTTTATATAATTTTCATTAGTATAATTTTACTTAACAGATAAGTCGCAGTATTTGAAAAGGAGTGAAAATGTGTTTAGGAATATGATTTGGTAATGGCTTTAGACTTTGCCCATTGCTTTGCTGTGATTAGCTTCCTACATAGAGAACTGTTGATCTCATCTGCAGTGCTATAGCTCTGTACCCAGCATGCCACATTCTCAGCAGCTGTGTGTCACTAGTGACTGACATTGGTGGTGTAGGTGCTTTTGTCAGTCAGATAATGCCAGTTCAGGTGCAGCCACAAGGAATAAAGAGCAAGAATGAGAAACATTTGGGAAGGGCACTGTAGATCACTTAGAATATAAATGATCTGAGGAAGGGAGTCCAGGAGGCTATTTCAGAAAACAAAGCCAGGAATAATAGGAAGGATATAGCTACCATTTGCATGCCCCATATATCTGGTGTTGTGTTAGGGAAATTCATGTAATACTAGCCTTGAATGAGGTTACTGACGGAAGTGCTGAGGGTCAGAGGTTAACTTGCTTAGCACCATGCATGAAAAAGGATGGAGTCTGAGAACCAGAAGAACTGTCCCATCATAGATGGAAGCATCAGAAGATGACTGCGTGAACCTTGTAGCTTACCAGGGATATGGATTGAAGTTAAAGACAACTGATAATTGTGGAAACTCGAACTGAGAAAGTGAAGCATAAGTAATGTCTGTTATACTGAAAAGTTTTTAAAATATTTATCCTTGTTTGGCTTTGTGAAGATTTTGTTAATAATTGACCAGACTAAGTGTAAAGATGTGGTTAAAGTAATGGGGAACAAAGAATATCGGGCAAACTTCATTTTTTTCTTTCAAGTTTTTATTTGTTGTGTTAAGGATTGAATCTGGGGTCTCAGCCATCTCTCTGCCACTAATTTATATTCCAGCCTTGAAGTCATGCCCCTTAGGTAAAGGGTGGTTTTCCCTGGGGTTCCATCTTTTGTTGCTCAGTAGTCTTTTGTTTTGGGTCACAGAGTTGGACCTCATGAAAAATTATGCCTGTATTTTTAACATTAGAGACAGCTTGTTTTCACAAGTTTTTTTTATTATACATACTTGCTTAAAATCAAGGCATTTCTAGGCCAGGTTCAGGCAATTGAAGGGCCTTTATAAGTAGTTTATATTGTCTAGACCCAAGGTATGCCGCAAACACAGTCTGAAGTATAATGGGAAATAACATCTTTCTAAAGACAGGCTTAGAAACTCTAATCCAGTAATTTAAGATGTTTCCTCTCTGTGGCAGAGGAGTTGTCTGATACCTGTAAGAAAGTATATAAATTAGCAAATCTCTATATAATATAAATCCTAAAATTCTTAAGGTAAAACTAAAAGATAATGCGAGTCAATTTTTGCATTGGCACATATTCACTGTAGGCAGCAATGGGTTCTACAAAGATGTTTTCATTAATGCCATTCTCAGGTATCTTGGTTCTAAAAACTACACTGTGTTCTTGCACCCCGTCCTCTAGTTCACTTCTGGAGATAACAGAACTGATACCTGATACGAGTTCAGAGATTTACCAGAATTATTTTGGAGTACAAGACTTATAGCTAGACATTTTCTTTTAGGACAAATGTGCAGACTCTTAAGAATATTTTATATATACTACAGCTTTTCAGGCTAGACCCACAGTGTTCACACTGGCTTGTTTTGTGGCAAGCATTCAACACACTGAGGTTGGTAGCCTGAACTCTGCTGGGAGGCTGAGCATGACAGCTGGAGAACTGTCTTGAATTCTTGAGGTGTAAAACTGCACCTCATGCCTTAAAATGAGGTGTATTTGCCGTTTTCTGCATTCTCTAGGTAGTCACATACATTATTAAAGGTTTTCAACCACGAAGAAAGCAATCCTACCTGACTGCTAGGCCACCATTCACAGGAATAGCCAAAAGAATGGGATACAGACCACCTAGAACAAAACCAGCTAGTCCTGCCCGTGTCACTGTGCAGGTTTCACAATTCAGATCACCTAGGAAATAAATTCTGTGAGTGATAGTCATATTTAAACAGGATTTGAATAGAAGAGTCACTGAACTTTGGAGGTATTTTATTTTCAGTGACAAAGTAAATACAATTTGCAAATCATGTACAAAGGTATAACTAGAGGATGGAACACAGCTCAGTGAATATATGCTTAGCATGTGTTAAGGCCTTGAATGACCCACAGTACCCAAACAAACAGATATAATTACATCTAGCCTAAAATAGCTAGGAAAAACTGATAAAAAAAAAAAAAAAAACAACATGCAGGGAAAATACTCTCTAGTTGGTTCTAGATTCTAAAATAATCATCTCAAGGTAATAGCTTTTAGCTTTCCACACTTTGTTAACAGCAGCCTGGGCCAACATCTTCACTGTTCAGTTCATTAGGCAATAGGTTTTCCTTAGGCATACAAATTCTCCCCAGCCACTAAACCAAATTTGAAGCAGTATTGAACAGAAAATAAAGCAGATGGACCACCCACCTTGGCCCTCATGGAGCTATCTTTATTTTAAATCCGAAGAACTTTAGGTGTGCTCAAAGCATTCATGACACATGGTAAAGTTTCAAAGGAACTTCAGTTTCCTATATCTGCTAAATATTATACATGCATAGAATGCTTTAAGAGACCACACAGTTTGCAGTATTTTTCCCTTTAAAAAACTTCCTTATATAGCATAAATTAAAGGTGTAGCATTGAAACAATAAAAGGAATTTCCAAATACTCATAGCATGGTGGGAATGGTATTTCAGATGAAGGCAAGTATGACTGCTGTGTATGTTCACTGTACTTGCTTGACATACTAGTATCAGTTGCTGTGTAACACTGGGAAGATTCAGTCTTCCCCAAGAACTGCATTAGATAGCATACGCTAATGGATACTACTATTTAGGTATTAGGTAAAGTTGCAAATAATACATATGAAGGCAAACTCTTAGGTGACAATGAAACAAAACTTACCTGCACTCAGAGGTAAGCTAACAAAAGTATAGTATGACACATTCGCTGTCAAAAATGGGAGCACTGCCATTGGTAAGCCAGCAGCTATTCGAGCTTGTGTCACATGCAAGGTGCGCCGAAAAAGACTGTTTGCTATTAGACCACTGAAACCAGCATTAAGTCCAATATATAATGATCCATGTTCAAGTAGATTCCTGAGGTGAGAAAAAAAATACGAGTTTCCACTGTGAATAGTTCTCCAGCTGTGGTATGTTACAGAACTTATCAGTACTTTGGGAACAACTATCCTTTAAAGCTCCATAAAATGTAAATCACTGTTCTACATTTACATTTCTGTTCTTAAAGGCTTTTTTGAATTGCATCAGCACTTAAGGATACGGTGGCACGGTACTTTGTGATTTTGAGGAAGGATATTAGTTTAGAAATTTGCCCTGGGCTATGTAATAGGGAACAGCTCTGAGGAGTGCCTGCCTCTCTGATCCCCTAATACCCAGTATTACCTTTCTAGTACAAATGATAAAGTGGCACTGTTTTATTAATTACTGATCTACACTCATTTCCTCTCTAAACAACTTGGTAATAGACACAGATACTCAACTTTGATCAATAGTGTGGAGTTGGTGTTTCCTTTCACATCTTTCATGACATGCTAGTGTCAGGATTTGGGAGACTGGGGAAGTACCAACTTAAGCAAGACTCTCCTAGTAGTTTACAGAATCTCACTAATGAAAAATTTAATTGGTGGTTTGAGGTAAGTGGGAGAAGTAGATTTTAAGCCAGTATGTGTACTATTTGTTTTATTTGGGAGGAAAACTAAAATCACTGAACACTACAAATAGTTCAAATTGTTCAGCCTACAACTCAGTTCGACCTTGTACCCTAAAGCATTCCCTCTCGGTTCTAAAGGCTTTACTCATTTTAAAAGCTTTTCCAGGACTTGATAGTTAATGCATCCTGTGCTGTGTAAGAGATCACTTTTCTACCTATGACTTTGCATTCATAATGCATGCCATTTCATTCACTGAGAACAAATTACATACAGGTGACTTGGTGTTAAAGGTGCAAAATTATTGCTTTCTACCTCCAAGGTTTCATAGTTCGCTACTGGAAAAGACTGTAAGTTGAGATTTCCAGAACTCTATGAAAACGGTTCAGGAAATTAGCTTATACACCTGCTAAACAACTATAGAAAACATTTGAAAACCCTGTTATTTGTGGGGGTTGAAGGAACTTAAGTACTTCTATAAAATATAAAAATCATGAAATGGGAGTCATTCCTAATTTAGTCATAACCAATGAATTAGTATAACCAATGAATGCTCAAGAGATTAGTGGAACTGAAATCCGAAAGAACACTTTACCTCTCCGCTAAAATTTAATTTCCTATGGATTTAAAGTTAAACTTGTAAATTTTTTCAAAAGCTAAATTTTAACCTTGCAGTTCACCTCAAGGTGGGACCTCAAGTCCCAATATTCTTCTAATTTGGCAAAGGTCTCGTTGATAGCTGGCTCTCTGCCTTTAAAAGCTCTGTCATCTACTCTATCCCTTAATCAGCCTTTACGGCTTTTCCTACCTTGTTTTTATAAATTTTCCTTTTTTAATCTTGGGACAAAAGGGTGTGTGTGGTGGTGGTGGTGAGGGATATAAACTGGAAAGTTACCCAGTTCTTACTAGTGTTCAGTTTATGGGTGACAACAGAAGTGGAATTTCTGTTTTCACACCTGAAGATAAGCTTACCCCCAAAATGTATTTCACATCTTTCATCTTATATCTGTACTCGCCAAGGCAACTACTATGCCAGTTTCTACTTTTGTTTTAAAGTGGTCTCTCTCTTTCCTACCTTTAATATGTTACCCAAAATATGACTGGAGTGTACATTAGAAAAATTAGATTGCATGTTCCTTCTTAAAACCTGGTTATGTCCACTTTTCTTATATTTCACTAACATTGCTTCCTCAAACACGACAAACTCTGGCTTAGACTTAAGTAATTTCTTCTGAGATCCTGTCCCCCTCTCTTCCTAGACGAGCTCCTTTTCATCTTTTTAAAGGTTTCAAGGCTGAGTGAGGTGAATGAGTAGGTAAAGGCACCCGCTGTCAAGCCCAACGACCTCAGTTCCATACCTGGGATCCACATGTGGAAGGGAAGGACTGACTCCTGAAAGATGAATTTGAAGAAAATCTATAAAAAACATTTTAATACTAAGGGACCTTACCTGTCTGATTCGGGAAGTTGGCTAATTTTTCTAGTTATGATATCAAAAAGTATGTTTTCTTTGACAGTACTTGCTTTATGATTTTCCATCTTGGGCCTAAAAAAAAAACAAAAATGCCATTTTAAGAATATAAATATATTTAAAAAAAACCTGAAGACTTTGTGAAAGAGCTGTATGTTAACATAATCTGAAAAAAATTACACCAAAAATATCTCCCATCAAAAACAAAACCTCCTCCCCTGCAAAAGTGCAACAAATTGGAACATGAAAAGCAACACAAAGTTTCTAAGAGAGACTTCCCAATTCTTAGGCCTATTTCCTAAGGAATTTACAACAAATATGAAACAATTACAAAACAAAGCTGGGCGTGGTGCATATACCTGTAATACCACCACTTGGGAGGTGGGGCTAGGGGAGTTCAGGGTACATCCTTAGGTACAAGGGAGTTTGAGGCCAGCTTGAGCTACATGAAAACTATACAAAACAAAAATGACCACAAATTAAAATGGAGAACTTGTGTTCATTAATAGATAAGCACGTGTAGGAGAAAATGTAACCGACAAATGAGTTACTGCCCAGAGCTTTAAGAGAAAATAAGGCAAGCAACTCAATAGAAGACAGAAGACTGAAACATTTTCTAAAAGTTTAAAAAGCCGACATGAAAACACTCAACTTCAGTTAAGACCACACTGATAGACTATTAGGTGTACGCAGGTTAGCTAAAATTAGAATCACAATTGCAGTTACTGGGAAGAATCCAGGGAAGCTGAAATTACTGCTAGTGGTGGTAGAAATTATACTTTAAGTGGGTGTAACCACTTCGTAAGGGTAAGACACTCAGCTGTTTTACTTCTAGGAATATGTAAAAAATAAAACCTAAAATTGTAAAAGCCATTCTTTGCTGTCTGTGTATTAAGTAAACTTCATATGGCAGGCATGCAAATATTGTTGGATCTCTGCACCAGATAAGCGAAATGTCTGATAGGCTGAATGCAGGATAATTGTGAATGAGTTTCTGCCTACAGATTTGGCTCTTTGTAAAATATTTCTGTGGGGTTAGAGAGATGGCCCAGAAGTTAAGAAGAACACTTGTTGCTCTTGCAGAGGACTGGGGTTTGGTTCTCAGTATTCACAAGGCAGCTCACAACTTTACAGTTCCAGGAGATCGTAAACGGTTTTGTGCCCTCTGACTGCACCAGGCACTCAATGTAGTGTACTTCCATACACGCAGGCAAAACACTTAAGACCTTACCTTCTTAATTTTATTGTGTCTGGGTGACAGGACAGGAAAGGCAAAGGCCTGCTACCTGTGGTGATGCCTGTAACCCAGCATTTGGGAAGCTGAGGCAGGAACATTGTGGGTTCCAGATCAGCCTGGGCTAGACAGCAAGATTCTGTCTCAAAAATAAAACAAAAAACCCCAAAGCAACCCCCCCTCCACACACACACACACATACACACACAACCTGGTACGAATCAGATTGTATTCGTCAACTGGTGCTTACCTGCTTCATCCTAACACTTTTAACAGAATTTATTGGGTACATGTTTTACATATATAAGTCATTTTGAAAACGCTGAGTGCACACATTCCATAAACCTCCACTTAAAATTAACCTAGTAAGCTGGACACTTGCATGGCTTTAAACCCAGCACCTGGGAGGCAGAGGCAGGCAGATCGTGAGTTTGAGGCCAAGCTGCTCTAATAGTTTCAGGCTGGCCTGGACTACATAGACCCTGCCTCAAAAAATACAAAACAATAAAAACCTAGTAAGTAGAATGCAGATTTCCAGGACTCAATATTTTGAGTGCCTTCAATAACGAGATAGGCAATCCCTGCAGTATGGGAGTGCTGAGGGAAGTGGGTGGGGGAACATAAATGTAATTCAGTATAAAGTACATGGCATGTATCAAAAATTATTCTTAAAATGTCCAGTGCAATGCTCAGCACTTGTCTGTGCTTTGCACATTAGCCATTCCTACCGTGTTCCTATTAAAAAGTCACCCTTGATTCGGGAAATCCTGATTCTGCATCCTGACGGCACCATTTCTAATTCCTACCAAAGGCAATGTCATCTTTAAATACCATAAACATTTCACAAAGTTTTTGTATTACCTAGCTCATCACCTTTAGAAGAGAGAAGTAACGGGCAAAATGGAGCATTCCAAAATTAAACTTAGGCAAGGGTACCCTGTAAATTGGCGGTAATCCTGGGACTTCTCCCAGACCTGGGCTCAGCACAGCCTGCACTCCAGCAGCCCGGGCGCCATCTTTGACTGACACGTGACTAGTTCACAGCCTCAGCTTCCTGTTGAGCAGCTTCCGTTCTGTGTCGGTGAGGGTTGGCGGTGGGGTAGACTAGGCATTTTGCTAACCGTCAGGGCGCGAAATGGTGAGAATTTCCGATGTAAACTGGTGACCCTAAACCTGACTCCTTGAGCAAGCCGACTTCCTGGTCCCTGGAGCCGGTCTGCCGAGCTTGGCGGCTCTGCTAAAGCAAGCCTGCGAAGAGCTGAGACGTCTTGGTCCCTCCGATTCTCTCCTCCCTCTCGGATCTTAAGCTGTCTGTGCCATAGTTTGAACGAGTTGATGCATAACGTGAGCACTTCAAGAACAAGAGCTTGCTTTCCTGAGGATGCCGGGTACCCTCCAGAACACGGCTTAGGAAAACAGGGCTAGGTGAACGAGGTAAAGGAGCCCGGAACAGCGGAGCCTAGCACCACGGAGCAGCCGTGTCTCGAACCAAGTCTGTGAACTTTTTGCTGACTTTTGTCCCAGTTCTCCCGGGTGCCTCCTTCTACATCAGTAAAGCAGGAAGGGAAATAATGCACTAACTGGTTAGTTTGTAAAGTCACGGTAAAAATGCTTACCAAATTGCATTGAGAGAAGAATGTGGTAAAGGTTTAAGGTAGACTTCATAGGCAAGATGAGTACTATAAGAGCCCCCAAACTCCCGGTCTGAGAGGCATCAGCCATATCTATTCAAAGAACAGACGTTGCTCATATATGTAGGGGGAATCTACCCTAGTCCCCATTAAATATTTATTTCCTGATACTCTGTTTCATACTATTCTAATTTTTTAAAAATAGTTTGAAGCCAGTTTTTGAAATGAATATTCTTGTGGTATAGTATTTGTGGCATGCCACTGTGGGCTACAAAATTTTTTTTGTAATTTATGCTGAGATTTGAAAACCAGTTTAAAAGGCTGTTTAAACTAGACATAAAATAGTAAAAGTTTAAGTAGTTAGAGGGCATCAGAGGTTATAAGTGTCAGTGTAAAGAATCAAAGGGAATGGATAATGAGTCGGCTTGGCTAATGTTAAGTCAGGAGAATGGAGAGGAGGTAAATCCTCTTTTGTAGAGAAAACTGTTCAGTTTCTAGACTTAGAGGAGCAAACCCATGGAAGGAAGAAAGATAAACAGTAGAACATCTGTAACTCCATCCACGTTGTCCAGTGCAGCTGGTAGTAAAAATTCTATTAAATTACATTTAAAAACCAGACTATAAAATATTTTTAAAATCAATGGTGTCGCATGAATTTTGAATAATAATCTTAATGACTAACTTGGTCTGTAAAGCCTTGCAAGATCTGGCTCCATTTCTAAGCTCTTCCAAGTCGTCATGATCCATTTGAGTACTGAGGTGCTGTGCCTGTTTCCATGTTTTGTCCTTCCAGTTCCTCAACTCTGAGCCACGTTTATCTACTTCTGCCACTCTTCACCCCGATTTCACATGGCTAACTTCCTATCCTTCAGGTCTCAGGTCAGACCTTGACTTTCTTTGGCCATCAATCTAAATTCTTCCTATCAGTCTTTCCTATTTTCCCTTGAAACCACTTGTTTCTTCATTGACTATTTACTGTGTACTGGTGTTTAACTGGCTCCCAAGAGTCACAGAAAACACAAACAATTGTAATTGTGGGTTCTGTGGTGTTTTTGAGATATGTGGAGGATACTATGGTACATCCAACCATGTGGATAGCTAAGAAGCCTTTCAAAAGAAATGTTGGTTCTTGGGAGGAAATTTCTCAATGGTTCTGCTAAATCTTTTGTGACCTGGATTCTCAAGAGTATCTGTGCAGTAGTTATGGACATTTCAGATTGTGTTTCCCTCTGAACCAGAAGGCAAATCTGTTGTCTGACCAGGTTAATAAACATATTGTCTTCCTTTTGAGTAAAGGTTTGGTTTGTTATTGTTTTGAGATATGGTTTTGCTATTTAGCATAGGCTGGTCTCAGACTTAAGAAACTCTTTAGGAATAACGTTGAATGGATTTCTTTGTAGCCTTCTTGTACAATTAAGGTTTGTTTACCCAAACTTCCTTAGCCATCATATGGATATACCTGCTAATGGAAAGCAGTGGCTAGAAGACAGGAAGCACTCTTGGATACTTCTGCAGCTGTCCGACACTAGGGAGTCAGTGTTTTGAATGAAATATTTCTGAGTTGAACAGAAGAGTGAAAACTTTGAGCATTCCACTGAACCTGAAAGAGCACATCTTAGAAGTACAGTCTAATCCAAGGACTACTTATACCCTAGAACTAAGGGCAAAAGTCAACTAAATCAGTAACATATTTTTTTTAATGAAAAGAAAATAAAAATTAAAGAAAATAATAAAGATTAGTGGAAATCAAAGAAATAGAAGAGAGTAAAATCAAAACCAAATGTGCTTCTTTGAAAATAATAAAATTAGAAATCACTGATAAGACTAATCAAAGAGAACTCAATCAGTATTGTATTTTTGGATGAAAGAGAGGGTATCAATACAAGTTTTCTACTTAGTATCAATAAAGAGGGGAATTATGAATAACTTTACCACAAGATGTCCAACCACTTGGGATGAGATACCTAACTTTTGTCCACTGATTCTTAGTTGCTTGCATTGAGAGTTACAGTTTAGTTTTAGGAATCATAACCTACAGTCTTGCTAAATAGAAGCTTTAAAAGCAATTAAAGGAAATTTCATTTTTTTTCCCTAAATCTGGATTCCTTTTATTTCCTTGGTGCCCTCCCCTCCTCCAGCCCCTTACTGCACTGGCTACACCGTACCCCCCCGCCCCAAATAATGTTGACTGGAAATGACAGTAGACCTGCTGGTTCTATTCCTGTTCCTGATCTTAGAGGGAAATCACTCTTTTCACCATGTATAGTTTTCTTGTGGATTTGCCTTGAAAGGTTATGGAAGTTCCTTTCTATTCCTAATGTCTTGAGAAATTTTAAATTTTATTTTTATGTGTATGAGTGTTTGCATGGAAGCATGTAAGTGCACCTGTGTTGTGCAATACCTATGGAGGCTAGAAGAGGGCATCAGATCCCCTGGAACTGGTACAGACAGTTGTTACCTGCCATGTGGGTGCTGGGAACTGAACCCAAGTTCTCTGCAAGAGCAGCCAGTGCTCTTAATTGGTGAGCCATCTCTCCAGCCCCCATGGTTGTTTTTCTTTTAAGGCTACTTACTTTATTGATCTGAACAACTTTATTAAGACAATGACTATTCTGCAAAAAA